GACTCGTTAACATTTAATTTGAGTCGACCAAAATGATTACATAAAATCAGAGGCCATGGTTGGTTTTTATTAGTGAATTTTTCATGAAAGAGATAAGCTATTACCATAGATCTCATTGTGAGACCTAGACCCGGGGCCGTTTTACTATTTCATTTTGATGCCTCCTCGGGCCAAAAAAATCCATTCAAATTCATACCTTTAATTTATGTATCCGTTAGCACGATAACTCAAGTAAATAAACCAATTATGATGAACGATTTGCTACAAAAATGTAAAACTGTATGTTTGTTTAAATAAATTAAAAACAAAAACAAAATGTTGATGAATTGATCCAAAAAATATGGTTGGTAAAATTGGAACATTTAAACAGTAGATATGAGATCAGTTTGTAGATACTATTTACATTAGAAATTAATAGTTCATAATGTGATCTGACTAACGGGGTTAAATTGTGATGAGGATAACAGGGAAGGCTCCAGGAATAATATTTTTGGGTAGGCCTGACAAGGATCAAGAAGGAGTTTGATCGGGGGACGAGAGGTTTGAGAACCTTCCCAGCAAAAAGGGGTGAATTTAAAAACTTAAATCCAAAATTAAATTTAATGCTTTTCCATTGTTTGTGTATCATTAAAATCTCTTTTGGCCTATTTATTTATAATTTTGAAATATCTACCAAAATGTTGCCCGGACTACCTGCCCTACCCTCTCTCTGGTGCTGCCCTTGGAGGATACAGTATTAAGTAGGAGATATTAAGAGCTTGTACAATGTACAAGAAGGTGTCAAGTTCTACAAGCAATTTAAACATAGACACCAGGCCAAAATTACTTTATTACATAACAAATTAAACTACAACATAAATAAAGATGTCTACCGTATATTATAGTTTGGTGTGTGAATACAGAATACAAACCTTTTTGCCTGGCACAGAATTACAATCTATTAAGGATTTAGGATTCTGTATTGACTTTACATTTTACCACATATTGTGTTTACTGTTATTTCAATATTTGGTATGAATTGAATACAAAATGATACCAAATACAAAGTAGCACAAAACAAGGAAACTTACAAAAAAACTAGATTGAGAACAAAGTTAAAGTTGATAACAATATGTACATATTGTGGTACTGTTTCATGACAGTGGAAATAAATGAGTACCGTTGGATTAATTTCTATACAATTATCCAAACATGTAACAATCTAGGGAAATCTGACTCTCATATAATCTCTGCCCTTGTCTACTATGATAAGTAAACAGTACTATAAACATTATGAATCCACTATCCAGTCATGCTGTTTATTTCAACATTTGTGTACTTAGTATCTCAATAGGAACCAGGGACACGTTTTGCTGCAACATCTAGTCAACCCTGTTCTACTGCATGAAATACAGACAAAACTACCAAACGTATGATATCCGCACTATGTTATTAAATGGTGATGTTATTACTTTAGTGCAAGCACGATTAACTTCCCCTTCATTTGGAAAGTGAACAGCAAAATTTAAAAACTTATTAACACTCCAAACTTCAGATAATCCACTGGTAAATAAAATTCGAACAAATCCTGTACTTCCAATGGCATGAAATTCTTCTACATATCTACTACTTGTTATATCTTCACAAACTCTTCCCGAAGACGAAACCGAGCACAAGAGCAAGTTTACATCGTCTCGAAAATATAAATTGCTGCTTATTTTTCCCGGAGTGTAGTCTGTTGGTAAAGATGTATTTTTGGTAAAAATGAATGTATCCCCAATCACTTGTAAGGGTGTGTTATAATAATTTGTTTCTAACTTGTACTCTTCGTGGCCAGTTTGGTAGTTGAAAATTCTTATGAACTCTTTAAATTCATGCTGGCTACAGTCGGAAAGGGCCAAAAAACCATCGGTTATAGCACACGGAAAATCACTCCAATCTACAAAATTTGATACAAAATAGTTTGGGTCAAAATTATTGCGGTAAACAAGAGAAAACATTTTCTGAAATGGTAAGAATTTGAGTTTATTTGCATTGTAAACTCTGCTTTCTAAAGTCACCAAACCAAATCCTGAACTATCAGGGGTGCTAAGTGAGTAAGGGACAATGACCATCACATCTTCACATTGATTTGAACCAGATTTACATCCTTCAATAATCAATTCATCTCGTGGGAGGAATGGGAATTCTTTTCTGAGTTCTACTCCATTTTCTATATCCCACACACAAAATGAGTTCTTGATACCAACACCACCAGTAGAAGGGAAGTATCCAATGCACTTTCCCTCTGTAGTAATAACTATTTTACATTTTTTTCTAAAAAAACAACTAAGTCCTCACCACTCCCTAGTTTCAGTGACGATTCTTTGTCATTTTGTTTGATATGTCATTTTACGATTACAGTGCTTTCATTTAGATTAACCTTGAGAATTTCTAAAAAATCATGATTATAGCCATTATCATTATAGCCATCGACGGCGACAATCCCATTCTCTAAGATTGTAGGCCAGTAATACCATCTAGTTGTGCCAGATGATATGGTATCCTTTAGAACTGGACAATCTGCTCTTATGTCCCACAGTTCCACTGAATTGTTAAGAAACCTTATTATCAAATCATTTGTAACAAATTGCTTTATAGAACAATTAGTGTTCTCATATCCCCAATCATACTCCACAGTTTTGAAGTTCCCGTTTTGCCAGTTTGTCCACAAATGTTGTTCTCGTAGAAAGGCAGCTCTCCATTGACTCAGAGCAGTTAGTGAAGTGCCAAGATGTTGAGGGAGTTGAAATTTTGGCTCCACTACACACGGAGTTGTCCTCAGGTATTCCTCTATTTTCGAGTCACACAGTCGCTTCCAAACCTGTTGACAAAGTGTGTAAATGTATAATATAATTCACTAATTGATTGATTTTACATTATGTCAGCAAAAATCCTCTGTCCGTCGCAGGATTGGCCGTAGCTATAAACCTAAGGAATGAAACTGTTCAACTCTTGTCTACTGTGATGGTTGTCAAACTTTTAGTTTGAGTGAAGAGATAAAAAATCTTTCAAACTTGATAGCAGGTTAAGGTTCATGGTTTGTCTCTCTTCGTTGTGAGACTTTGAAGGAGTTATAAATCTAACCAATTTAAAAATTTAACCCAAAGATAGTTGTTGATGATGATGTTTGTGTCGTTTTAAGGATTGGTTAGGAAGATTCCCATCATAGTAGAACATTAGTTAGACAATGTTGCGGGATCTTGAATCCAACCATGTTCAGGAACACAGTTTGAAAAAAAATCAACATCTGAAAAACGTAGATCTCTTATAAATGTCCCTAGGGGAAGTGAGTGAGTGAGAATTGGAGTTTTAAGAAATATAATTGTATTGATATCAAATCACATAATCGTTTATTGCCATAAAACACCCTAACTTGACACAATTTTGACACGGGAGACCTTCCTCTTAAATCACCTAGATTTTGTGAACGGACTCTTAACATTTAATTAGTTGGATTGAATTAATTTGCGTGGCATTGAATTAAATGGGAGCTTACTGACAAAGTCACTAGTGTCTGTCACCGGAAATGTGGCATAACCTGTTTTAGGGAAAATAATAAGTTCACAAGCAGAGACAGATACAAACTTGTTTTCATTTTTTAAAGTTTATAAAATAACACTTTGCACACACGGATATAAACAAAATTTTGGTTGGCACGAAGTTTGTGCCACTATGTGCAACTTAATTAAGGCAACTGTTCTAGTGGTTAGTTAGTTTTGGATAAAAAAACTCCTGCGTCCTCGCCTTCTGTTCTTGTTTCATAAAGTAAGATATGTACATACCATAACATAAGATGTGTTCATTAATGGTCAACATTTTCTTAACTAGTCATATGGTGGCTTTTGGTGGAGTGGCTTGCCAGTAGCCTGTACCCACCTTCAGTTGTCCGGCCGGTAACCAACCTGCAGTCACTACCATTGGCACCAGTTACCGGTTACCTCATGTAAAAGAGGCTCTACGTTTGGGATTGTAAAAAGGTATGCAATTTATGAGTCTACCAACCATGCTATACTCTGTTTACTAAATTTGTATGGTTTGAGGGGAGACAGTTTCAATCCTTTCTTCTCACTTTAACTTTGAAACAAAAGAGAGAGCTAATCAGCTGACAAATACACTAAGCCAAAAAAAGTGGTCCCAGGAAACCTTCCTCTTAAACCGCCTAGATTTTGTGAACTCTAGATTTCATTTGAGTCGTCCAAATGATTACATAAAATCAGAGGCCATGGATGGTTTTTATTAGTGAATTTTCCATGAAAGAGATAAGCTATTACCATAGATCTCATTGTGAGACCTAGACCCGGGGCCGTTTTACTATTTCGTTTTGATGCCTCCTCAGGCCAAAAAAAATCCATTCAAATTCACACCTTTAATTTATGTGTCCGTTAGCACGATAACTCAAGTAAATAAACCAATTATGATGAACGATTTGCTACAAAAATGTAAAACTGTATGTTTGTTTAAATAAATTAAAAACAAAAACAAAATGTTGATGAATTGATCCAAAAAATATGGTTGGTAAAATTGGAACATTAAAACAGTAGATATGAGATTAGTTTGTAGATACTATTTACATTAGAAATTAATAGTTCATAATGTGATCTGACTAATGGGATTAAATAGTGATGAGGATAACGGGGAAGGCTCCAGGAATAATATTTTTGGGTAGGCCTGACAAGGTTCAAGAAGGAGTTTGATCGGGGGACAAGAGGTTTGAGGAGCTTCCCTGCAAAAAGGGAATTTTAAAATTTTAATGCAAAAAATAAATTTAATGCTTTTCTATTGTTTATGTATCATTAAAATCTCTTTTGGCCTATTTATTTATAATTTTGAAATATCTACCAAAATGTTGCCCGGACTACCTGCCCTACCCTCTGGAGCTGCCCTTGGAGGATACAGTATTAAGTAGGAGAAATTAAGAGCTTGTACAATGTACAAGAAGGGTTCAAGTTCTACAAGCAATTTAAACATAGACACCAGGCCAAAATTACTTTATTACATAACAAGTTAAACTACAACAAAAATAAAGATGTCTACCGTATATTATAGTTTGGTGTGTGAATACAGAATACAAACCTTTTTGCCTGGCACAGAATTACAATCTATTAAGGATTTAGAATTCTGTATTGATTTTACCACATATTGTGTTTACTGTTATTTCAATATTTGGTATGAATTGAATACGAAATGATACCAAATACAAAGTAGCACAAAACAAGGAATCTTACAAAAAACTAGATTAAGAACAACGTTAAAGTTGATAACAATATGTACATATTGTGGTACCGTTTCATGACAGTGGAAATAAATGAGTACCGTTAGATTAATTTCTATACAATTATCCAAACATGTAACAATCTTGGGGAAATCTGACTCTCATATAATCTCTGCCTCTGTTTACTATAACCAGTAAACAGCACCATTAACATTATGAATCCAATATCCAGTCATGCTGTTTATAGCAACCTTTGTGTACTTAGTATCTCAATAGGAGGCAGGGACACGTTTTGCTGCAACATCCAGTCAACCCTGTTGTATTGCATGAAATAGAGACAAAACTACCAAACGTATGAGATGTGCACTGTGTTAATAGATTTCCTCATAACTGGTGATGTTATTACTTTAGTGCAAGCAGGATTAACTTCTCCGTCATGTGGAAAGTGAACAGCAAAATTAAAAAACTTGTTAAATCTGCAAACTTCATCAGAAAATTCATTGGTAAATGAAATTCTAACAAATCCTGTCCTTCCATTGGCAAAAAATTCTTCTACATATCTACTACCTGTTATATCTTCACAAACTCTTCCAGATGGCAAAACCGAGCACAAGAGCAACTCTTCAACTTCTCGAAAATATAAATTGCTGTTTATTGTTCCCGGCGTGTAATCTGTTGGTAAAGATGTTTTTTTAGTAAATAGGAATGTATCCCCAATCACTATCATTCGTGTATTATAACCATTTGTTTCTAGTTTATACAGCTCGTGTCCAGTTTGGTAGTTGAAAATTCTTATGAACTCTTTGACTTCATGGCCACAGTCCGAAAAGGCTAAAAAACCATCAGTTATAACACACGGAAAAAGATTGTCTCCAGAACATTCTGGTTCTGAATCCTCTCTATAAATAAGAGTAAACATTTTCTTAAATGGTAAGAATTTTAGCTTATTTGCATTGTAAACATTACATTCTAAGGTTCCCAAATAATGTCCTGAACTATCTGGGGTGCTAGTTGAGTAAGGGACAATGACCATCACATCTTCACATTGATTTGAAACAGATTTACATCCTATTATTATCAATTCATTAAGTGGTAGGTATGGGAATTCTTTTCTGAGTTCTACTCCAGTTTCTAGATCCCACACACAAAAGGAGTTCTTGATACAAACAGAACCTGTAAAAGGGAAGTATCCAATGCACTTCCCCCCTGGAGTAATGACTATTTTCAGATTTCTTACAGAAAAAAAACTGTCCACAACTGAGTTCTCGCTGCACCCTGGTTTGAGTGACAATTCTTTGTCATTTAGTTCAATATGCCATTTTATGATAACAGTACTTTCATTTTGATTAACCTTGAGAATTTCTATAAAGTGATGATCATAACCATTATCATCATAATGGCCTTTGAGGGTGACAATCCCATTCTTCAAGACCGTAGGAGTGTACCATTTAGTTTTGCCGAATGATATGGTATCCTTTAGAACTTGACAATCCGCTCTTACGTCCCACAGTTCCACCGAGTTGGTAAAAAACCTTATTAACAAATCATTTGTTACAAATTGATGCTTTGAAGAAAAAGTCTTCTTATCATTTTCATTTCCCAAATCATACTCCACAGTTTTGAAGTTCCGCTTTTTCCAGTTTGTCCACAAATGTTGTTCTCGTAGAAAGGCGGCTCTCCATTCACTCAGAGGAGGTAGTGAAGTGTCAAGATGTTGAGGGAGTTTAAATGTTGGCTCCACTACACACGGAGTTGTCCTCAGGTATTCTTCTATCTCCGAGTCACACAGTCGCTTCCAAACCTGCTGACAAAGTGTGTAAATGTATAATATAATTTACTAATTGATTGATTTAACATTATGTCACAAAAACACCTCTGTCCGTCGCAGGATTGGTCGTAGCTAATTAAACCTAAGGAATGAAACTGTTCAACTCTTGTCTACTGTGATGGTTGTCAAACTTTTAGTTTAGTGAAGAGATAAAAAATCCATCAAACATGATAGCAGGTTAAGGTTCATGGTTTGTCTCTCTTTTTTGTGAGACTTTGGAGGAGTTATGAATCTAACCAATTTAATAATTTAACCCAACGATAGTTGTTGATTATGATGATGTTTGTGTTGTGTTAAGGATTGGTTAGGAATATTCCTATCATAGTAAAACATATGTTAGACAATGTTGCAGGATCTTAAATCTAAACCCATGTTCAGGAACACAGTTTGAAAAAAAAACATTCAACATAAAAAAAAACTTAAATCTCATATAGATGCCCCTAGGGGAAGTGAGTAAGTGAGAATTGGAGTTTTAACATTATAATAATGAACTAGTGTACATGTTGCTCGAATTCGAGCAATTGCAAAGTGTTACAGGATTTATTTTAAAACGAATAACAGGCATATTTACAATTAATTTAAAAGAGTCAACTCAAGATTACCGGTGTGTAACTCAGACCATGTTTATCTTCGTTATTGATAAGCCTAAATCATTCCGGCCGGTTTTCTCCTTCTCAAAATGCCTCGCTGTACAGGCAACACAGGTCATTGATAGAGGGCCAATTGAGAACGAAAAGTCGTTTTGGGGTAGTGTTAGGGTGCATTTGTAGCCAATAGTTGAGATTGTCCAGGGTCAGGTACTGACTGTGATGAGTTAAACCTATTACGCGCCACTGTTCTGTAGCTGCGGTCGTTATCACGATTACGCCTCCTGTCTATGTTTCGTTGTCGTCGCGTCGGAGGCATTTAAAAGAAGAAAAAAATAAACAAATTATAGCTACACAAAACAACGATAAATGCACAAATTTAAGTTACAATCATGCTAACACGATCCGTCATAGCGACACAAAACAACGATAAATACACAAATTTAAGATACAACCATACTAACACGATCCGTCTTGGGGGTTATGTTTAAACAAACTCAAATCTTATCTTACTAATATTATAAATGTGAAAGTTTGTGTGTTTGTTTGTTTGTTTGAAGTTCAATCACGCATAAACCACTGGACGGATTGGGCTGAAATTTGGCATGATGATAGCTTACATTCCCGATTAACATATAGGCATATTCTTATATCAAAAATCCTTTCGGGCTCCGCCCCAGTGGCTCTGTAATTCCCCATGTTAACCTTATGAGTATTCATATTTAAAGGGAATTAAAGAATTTAGTCAGCTGTTTCAACTAAAAAAAGTTGGTTCTATGATATGGAAAAGCATTAAAAAGTTATAAGATTTACCAACAGGGTGCAGCACTATATTTTTTTTGCATTTATGAAAACAGCTAATTTGAACTAAGCAGCAAGACAGCAACAAAAAACTGTGATTCGCAATGAGAACTGTCAAAGTAGGATTGTTTACAGTTATGTTTATGTTTTTCATTTCATGAATAATTTGTGATATTTTGCAAATTGTTAATAGTTTATTTTTCTCTATTGTTTACGTGAAGTGGTAGAACATTATGGCTATGGTAGATGTGTAATACTATAGAATACTGTAAATTTAAAAAAGCAAATTTTATCAAACTGTGTCCTCCCTTATTGCAAACGCAAAGCTTGAGTATAACTGTAATAAGCATTTTATACTTATATTCCAACCCCGTACGAAGGACGGGTACTCTGCTAGTAGTAAATAAACGTACTCAATGTGTTAGTTACATTGAATTGAAAAATAAATAACAGCAGTTAAATTATACAGCTGATCAAAATGTAAACAATTATGTTCTTCATAAGGATAACATTGGAACTTTCAAAGCCACTGGGGCGAGCCCAAGGGACTTTTTCAAAAATGTAAGGCCAGTTTGCAAATCTACGCGACACGCTCTTTCCAATGAGACGTCAATGGATAAAATCGGTTAAGAAATGGCGGAGGAGTTCAACCGACAAAGTTTCATGTAGCGTATTAATTATATAGATAACTTTGAAACAACAGCAAGGGCTGATCAGCTGATACATACAATAAGCTCAAAAAAAGTGGTGTGGGAACCCAGGAGACCTTCTCTTGTCAACTACAATGTAGCCAAAATTAGGATGTAGTTATTTTTTTGACGAAATTAATCACAATATTGTATTGTTTAAAGATGGAATAAATGACTATTCATTGACTTCCTTTTAAAACGCCTAGATTTTGTGAACAGACACTAACATTTAATTAGTTGGATTGATTTGATTAGTTGGATTGATTTAATTTGCATGGCATTGAATTAAATGGGAGCTTACTGACAAAGTCACTAATTAGGCTAGTCAAAATACGGTCCAACATCAAACTTAAAGCAATAGAAATGAAATATATGGGATTTTGTCAACAAAGGGGTCCACAACATCATACTAAAAATCGAGAAAAATCGAAGTGGCGGAAAGCCGCCATATTGGAAAAAAGCTTCCGCCATATTGGATTTATGTAAGCTTTTAGTAAAATTGATATAGTTTGACAACTAAGCGTCTTAAAAATCTCCGGTTTGTTTTAATAGCTTCCTCATTAAGTCTACTTCAAGATAATAACAACTTTTATATTTTTATAATTATTTTTTGTTTAAATGAGACAGCTTTAAATTCAAAAAATACCAAATTTCAAAGATTTTTTTAGTAAAACCTTTAAATTTTTGCTAATATGAACTCAGATGATATGAAAATGCATATTTTGTGGCTATAAAACTAATCTGCATTAAATTTTGAACAATTAAACCATCACATCAGTTTGCATCTTGCTTTGATGATGGGATATATTATGGGATATATTTGTTATCAGTCTTTAACTTGGAACGCTAGCCGTGACGCGCGCTGCACCGCTACATCTAATCCGGGTGATATACAATTTGAGGGGGGAAAGATTGCTTTAAGAAAATTTAGACCATTATTTTGAAATCATTTATACAGGATAATATACAAACAAAAATCCGAAAAACCCGAGCATGGGAACACTGAAAAAGTAGACGTTTTCAAACATAACAAAATTCAATTTTTCATAATAGACAATTACAGTAGTAGTCAGAGAAATATAAGAAATTACGTTACACTTTTTTCAATGTTACGTTTTATAGTTTTATTTTTAGTGTTGGGTTTGCAGAGTGACAAAAAAAAGTTATTAAAAAAAGAGTCCACCGAAAACCCCTAAAACGACTATTAAAAATGGCGGCTTTTCTCAAAATTGACAAATTAAAAAAAACACGTGCATTTTATGAACATTTTTCGAGAAATTGACTTGGTACCGCTGCTGATATTTATTCATTTTCTAGTTCCTAATTTCGATAGATTATCCTTTTTGACCGCCATCTTGGATCGCCATATTGGATATAAATAAAATATTTTAAAAGTAATGATAGTTTTGTGACACACCATTTTAAACTAGATTTTCACGATGATTTCAATTTTGGAATGCGTTTTTAAATAACATTTTTCGCTTTTAAGATAATTTAAAACGAAAACTTTACCCCATACATTTCTTATGAATGTTTCGTACCTTGAAATAAAAAAAAAATGATATTTCTTACATCTCCAGTTATTATTACCACTTGCAGTCCGTTCTAGCCTTAAATTATTCAGTGACGAAAGGGCTGTCATTTCATTATTTTGGCTATTGATAATTAAAATATGAAAGTTTTGAGACGAGCTACAAACCCCAACACAACCTTAAATTGACTTTTTAGGAAATCAGTTTTTATTAAAAGATTTATATTTTGGATTGCCAATACGTCACCTAGTTATTTATGGTCTGAATGTATTGATTAAATATTTGGCTTTATTTTTATTGATCACTAAATAAAATCTGACAAATTTAAATTGACTCATGAACCTTCATTTAAAATTATTTTATTTTATTTTGAAAACTGTCTTTAGTTAAATAGGCTACACATATCCTCAATCTTGAGTAACTCCAAAAACGCTTTATAGTCTTAAATAATTCGGCAAAGTATTGACTCTTATTTTAGCTATGGATTACGTATTTATTTATTTTGAATTGAGGAAACGTCTTTAACTGAAGACAATTCGCAAAATAAAAATTATTTAATCCATACCTATAAAAGAGGAAGTATGTATGTATGTATGTATGTATGTATGTATGTGTCCTATAGACTCCGAAACCACTAGACAGATTGTAGTGAAACTTCCAGATATTATTCAAGGATAGTGTGTGTGAAGTTTGGTGCAGATCCGTCATAAGGGCTCCGCCCCAGTGGGTTTTAAGGGGTCGATTGTCAGACTTTTGGGACTACAATTCATACAATAAATATAATTTAAAAGCAGTTTGTTTACTCTCACCAACTGCTTTGTAGGCGTGAATAATCACAACATTCTGTTTTACTCATGATTTGAAATAGTGCCACACTGTTTTCACAGAATGCAGCACAGAAAACTATTTTACTTTTGATAAGTCCATATATATTAAACCATTGACTAAAACCTAAACACAGCATACCAGTGCACTGAACAACGTTTGAATTCTCCAATGTTAAATATGTAAACATACAAAACCTTTATCAAAGTATTATAAAGATTAAAAGGGATAGCAATGCCTAGATAACTTTATCCTTTGTTCTATACCCACACAATCTAACATAAATTATTAAGTGAAAAATAATCGTGTGAGCTATGGCAGGTATTCAAATGCCTCCCGATTTGTCATTAACCCACCACATTACTGTCATTAAAAGAAGAGCTCAAATAATACTAATGCGAAACTTAAATCCACGGATGCTGTGCAACGGAACCAGACTGACGATTAAAAACATTACACCAAATCTGATTCAAACAACAATCATCAGTAGTAAGTTTAAACGAGAAATAGTCTTAATCCATAGAATACCGATGATTTCA